AAGTCGAGAGAATGAGGGAAGAGGTTTTTAAAATAATATACAGTCTGTCTACTTATTCACAATTTATACGGTTCGTAAAGGTTAGCGACTCGGACAGCTTCTCCTTATGTTCCTGTAGGCTACCAATTTGTTTTACACACTTCTACGAACAAGTGGGAAACTTAAAGATTTTACCTATTCGTTCGCTTTGCAACAGTAACAAAAAATCTCCGATCCATAAGATGCTACAGGCCATAACTTTGGACTTGGAGCTACTTGGCCTTTTAATGGATTATGACGGAAACTTGTGTATATAAATTTATACTTGTTTTCTTAAAGAGAAAGAAAAAAGAAATGAACAAGAAGAGGGAAATTGGAGTGAGAAGGCTAAGCAAAAAAGGATTTTTTTGTCACGTAAGATTAAAACAGTTTGAACCTGTTGTAGAAGAAAACCTATTTGCATAAGTTTTATCGCACCGATAATTTGGTGGGAGTGTTTAAATAGCGACATTTTTCTTTCGAACATGATTCCTTGCATGAAAGCGCAGCTGATATTCTTAGATGCAGAGTGATCAATAATCCATACACCGCACCGTTTAAAATAGTCCCCCTATCGGATTCCAAGCGTGCAAGATTAACCAGTTGAAACACACAACCACCCCAGTAAATATAGATCTAAATTAAATTTGCCCTAACGACCCCTCTTTTCACACCTTGTAAGTTAAAAATGGCATTCTGACCACTTTATTGCTCCTGTGCAAGTTTGCGTGAAATATTTGTGGTAAACATTGAAGCACGCACTTCACTACGGTACGTTTCGTGTATGCGTGCAATATAAATGCAAACTTTTCGTGATATTCAGCCCACGAAATACTGCACGAGATTTATGTTCCGATAACGGATGAATTTTCGCGAATCAAACGAAATATTACCAAATATTTACTGGTTAACTTAAAATCACTGTTACCGTATTTACATACTCTTTTAGTAATCCGACATAATAATTATTTATATTGGAAGCTCATTGTTTTCACCCAAACAAAATGAGTAGCGTTTGACAGATTGGGGGACTCAGTACAAGTGACCCCGTTGTCTCGACTTGAGGCTTACGGAAAATGTCCTAAACGTCTGATATGAAATGCTTTATGACTGAAAATTCACTTGTAAGGTGATGGGTAATACACAAGGGAGAAGCCCTGAAGGTAAGAGAAGCGTTAGATTTATTTTTTAGGTCGAGAGAAGGGCGCAAATACTTGAAATTCAAGTGTGACAATGTAGTTGTGAAGGGCATTTTGCATGACAATATATGGTTTATGCGATAGAACTTATACAAAATACACCTCGGGCAAATTTTTATAATAATTCCTAGACCGTAAGTGAATTTTACTTGGATAATTTTGACACTAAAGCATTCTCTTAACGTATTCTCTTTTGCTTAGGACATTTTTTTATCGTTTAACATCTCAGTTGGATCAATGAAGATGTAAGATTTCGTAACGGCCTTTTCTTGTGAAGTTGTAGTTCATGCGGCGTCAGGGATTCTCTGCACATATCGCTCAGTTTTATCTAAGCCACAAAGTTAAGCAGTCACAAGTCATAAAACACTTTCCGTTTGACTTCTAGCGAGATAAATCCGTTTGTACACAACGTGTTAGCTTTTCTTGAAAGGGCAAATCCACTCGCGCGAAGTGTTTGTTTGAACAACATAAGCTCAAATCGATGCTCTCGTTTAGCAAGATGATTTCAGCAAATTCGCTACATTGCTTAGGTTATTTCACTATTGAATATTCTATTTACACAATTCCTCGTTTTTTAGCTCCCAGATATGTTTAACAATGATTATTATTTGCTTCGGAAACCTGAATTTCGGCCGTCTGTGGCTCCCTAGCATCGCATTGGCTTTTATAGTCATGAAAGATCTCGCCTTTCACAACCTTCGAGAATTAGAATGCACTTAATAACGTCAATATTTTGCTTTCATTCACTTCTCCTTTCGATACATTTACCAATGAATAAAGTTTTCGTAAATTCTCAATCAATTACAGTTACATTTCCCGTAAGTTTTCCAATATAATGTTCCATGGCCCGTTTAAGCTAGGTAATGAAGCTTACATCAAATTAATGTTCGTATCGTTTCGCATTAGCATAAATAAAGCGCTCCCCAATATTACTTCCCTGCGTTTTTCGCGCAAATGTGTAATTTAAGCATTTCTTTTTTTCCACTGAATGCTTTTCAAAACAGCGGTGAACTCAAATTTTGCATACGTTTAATGAAATATTGTTCAAGTTTATCATGAAGCTTCAAAACATGCAGCAGCAAGGGTGGCCATATTTTGTTCCTTGCATTTGTTGGTACAAATCCGATTGAGCATTCTTGTCGTAAAAGTTTGCATACTGTGAATTTCTCGACACCTCACTGTACATACCATTTTGTGAACGATAAATTTGATATGAGTGTCCGGACATTTTGATTATTGTGATGATTTCCTGCAATTAGACGTCTGAAAATGTAATCGAATTATTTTTTTGTAAATTTTCGCAGGTTTTCCGAAGACAATCCGTGAAATTAGATACCTTGTTATTTGTAGTGACGGTTGGTTTTCGTCAAATTTATTACCTATTTATCACTAGATCGTCTTACTTGAAAGGCATTTCTCCTAAAAATACAGGAGACGTAGAATAATATTGTTGCAAGTCTTTGCTACCATTTTGAATTTTTTGTAGTTTCTTACAGCACGCTGACTACGAAGATAAAAAGTGTTTAAGTGTTTATGTTTTTGTGTTTTCGATATAAGCTTAAATACTCTGGTGCTAGAGTTTGGAGAAACATATGTTCACATTGGACGTTCCACGTTTTTTAAAAAATTATACTAAACGAAGATAAGTGATTTATCCAATGATACAACTGTATATTTTATCATATGTACAGTATACTTTTATATTTTGGTTTTAGTATGCTGATAGATCGATAAGGGCGAAATGCATACCTGATATTCGCCAGCTCACGATTTGAGACATTTAGTCTCTGAAAATAACTAATAATTTATTATCGTTGCACCGTCAAGGAAAAAAAGCAAGCAAATTCTACTTAACAAGTGTCATTAATTAAGAAATTCAAACTTCATAAACATTTTGGCCTAACATGATAATGTTTCATTAAAAGATCAGTCACAAAAACTAAAAAATATTATGTCTACAAGTAGAAATGTTTCTTTTACTTTTAGCACAGAGTAAAAACATTTTTTGAATTGATTTATCTTAGTTTTTACATTCGTCAAGCACATGTAGAGAGGAGTTTCATCAAAAGCTTACACATGTAGTTACTGATCCTTAGCTAACTCGTGAAGTGAATCTTGTGCCAATATAGCAACCATGGGAAATTTATATTGTTCCATCTTTATAATTTAAAAATATCTCTGTGGCTTGGTCTCAAGCAATGATAATAATATGTCTGAAGCAATGATAATAATATCATAATAATAGTTTTTTATTTAAAAACAATTAGTTCTCCATGGGAGGTTATACTTGTTAGCCATAATCTTATTAGCACCTGCAGAGCTGCTCCAGAGTTTTAATCTTGTCATTTCAAATAGTATGCATCAGAGAATTTAAAAAATCCCAAGTTATTGTTACAGGTATGTAAAAAAACCTTTTCAATAAAACATTGCAGCAAACCACTGCGTTAATTCATGTGAAGTATTCCACATGTATACAAAATTCAATTTATTTTAATTCAAACCTACATGTATATGTTGCAGTAATTTTTTTTATTTTGGTTAATTTTTGTTTTTCCTTTGTTTAAAATTGATTAGCATACATTGCCATACCCAAGAACAATAGAAAAATAAAAATTAACTTGCAAAAAAAATTCAGCAGTTCTTTCACGGATGATAGATTTTTGAACGCTTTCTCTGACTGAAGACAAACTTCAGACTAAAGTACCATATGTGGTTTTTCATCCTTTTGGCGGACAGTATTCGGTAAAAGATCCTTCACGTTATTGCCATCCTTTTTCATTTGCACCCTCCTGTCTAGCACAAGTCAATACTACATGCAACGCAAACACAGCAAGCATGGTAAAATAAATGAAACACAATTTCTGGCAGTCATTTGACTTGCAATGTCTGAGGTTGCTAGGTCGTTACGCTAGGTGGATGCAACTTTAAGTAAGCATGACTGATCATAAATGCAGTGTCAGTGTTTCATCAATTTTCTACATGGTATTTCAGTATTTGCCAGTTTTTCTTATGGTTTTGTGGTATTTGGTACCTCACAATGTCCACCTCTTCTTAATTTTATTAACTTGCTTGTTGTCCAACTTGCCATGCCATCTATCTTTGCCATTTCTCCTTCCACTTTCTTTATGTTATCCTTAATTGCCTTCTCCTTTTCACTCATTCTGTACATGAAGTCTTATTAGATTAACAAATCCATAGTAAATATAGTAAATCTCTCTTTTTTTAGAAAAAGACAAAAGAAGAAAGGGAAAATCTCCAAAAGGCAATGCCATTAAGCAATTCTCACCTGTACCAGGGCGCAGTGGGACATCACATCTTAACGGATCTGTTAACAGCAGTAACCACAGGGAAAGTTCTATCCATTTGCCTTTAAAAGAGTATGAAGTTCCAGATTTCTTAAAAGATACTCAGCAACAGAAGCATCAAGAGAGTTCTTCTCCTATCGTAACACGCAATCTAAAAGATCTAGATTTTTCACCAAGCAATGGCCAGGGTTTGATGATTCCCAGGGAGGAGCTAGCAGTTCCAGAATTTCTAAGAAACAGCGAGGACAGGCAGAGGAACGAGAGGTTGCGTCATGGAGGAAATTCTGATGGAGGTGATCAAGAAATTGCTAGAGGAGGTTATAGAGGGGAGAGACAACGAGCATCTCAGCCTTCAGGGGCTCAACATATAAGATCAAAGACTAATGGTATAAGAGATTACAGCAAAGTAAATGGTGAGCAAAGACCCCATGATTATTTAAGGGATCGAAAACATGACCAGGAAGTTCGAGGAGCTGATTTTCAAAAGAAGCGGAACAGAGCTTCATATGATTTGACAGAGAATATAGCTCAGCTTGGGCTAGAAAAGCCTGGAATGTCCTCCAAAACTAGTTCTGATACAGACAGTGATCTCAAAGTGCAACATAGAATTGCATTTTCAGATACAGGGGAGGAAGAGGAGTGCTATGACGAATTTTCTCTAAAAAGAAAATATAAAAAAGGACCTTCCAACAAGAGTAAAAGTAAAGGAAAAAATGTTGAATTAAACATGGATGTAAATAAGGGTGTTGGACCTTCTGTTCGACCTCAATTGGAACCCGGTGGTAGGAGGAAGTCCAATAACTGGCCAGCAGACAGTGATAGTGTACAGAGCACTTCCTCACAATCATTTTCTGAACCTATTTCAACAATGTCTTCTGACAAAGACAAGTTCAGTGTTTCTGTCAGAGATCACGGTAATTTGGCTTTGAAGGGTATCACAAGTAATGGGATTCTTTCATCTGCTGGTAAACTGCACTTGCATGGAATTACTAATGGCCATATTGAGGATGATGTGGATTCACCACCTTCCACACAGAGGAGTGGAAATTTAAACACTAGTCTTGGCTATAATGAAAGCTCACCAGAAGAGGATGTCCACAGAGTAAAGCGAAAAGATTCACTGCAAGCTCATTTGCGTAGTAGAATTACAAAGTTGGAGAGGGCAAGACAACCTGTATTTAGGTCAAGATATGATAGTGACTCCACTACTGTGAGTGATCATAGTGCCTTTGAGGAAGTCCTTCCTCATTATCCACGACGAAAGTCTGCTCCTGGACTGAATTCCTTGAATGACTTACCAGAGGATATTTTGATTCTTATTTTATCATACCTGTCTACAAAAGACCTTTGTCAGGCATCAGGGGTTTGTCGAAAATGGCAGGCACTCTGCTGGGATCCGGTGCTTTGGTCGCATATCAACATAACCAATTACCAAGACAGTGACATCAATAAAGTTCTACGGAATCTCTTGGCAAAGCTAGCAATGGACACCCAAGGTTACTGCATGACTGTCCACACTATTAAATTAAGTGGCTGTGAACTTTTATCAGACAAAGGTCTGGGTTTCATTGCACGGTTCTGTATAGATCTTGAGGACCTGGACGTCTCAGGCTGTTGTTGTATAACCAGCAAGGGGCTTCATGATATACTTCTGAATTGTCAGACTCTAACCCATCTTGACACCAGTGGTTGTACCTGCATCAACAGTATATCAGCACCAGTAACAAATGGATTTGGGCATCACGGCTCATTTCTACGGTTACGACACTTGGACATGAGTGATTGTGTCGCCTTTGATGACTTAGGGCTGAGAGTTGTGGGTCTCAGCTGTAATTTGCTTGAAAGCCTCTATCTCCGCAGATGCAATCGTGTCACTGACGTTGGCGTTAAGCATGTTGCACAGCACTGTAGTCACCTTAAAGAACTCAGTGTCAGTGACTGTTACAAAGTGAGGGATTTTAGTTTAAAGGAAATAGCCAAGAATTGTGCAGGCTTGAAGTACCTCAGTGTAGCAAAATGCCCAGTAAGTGACACTGGGATGAAGTTTATTGGAAAACACTGTGTTAAATTAAAGTACTTAAACATCAGAGGATGTGAAGCTGTGACAGATGTTGGTATCACTCATATAGTTCAGAACTGCTTTAAACTGAGATCCCTTGATGCAGGAAAGTGTGACATTACTGACAATGGATTACATATCATTGGTATCCATTGTCCTCAGTTGAAGAAACTCAGTATACGAGGATGCGAGCGTGTGACAGACACAGGAGTCAAGACTGTTGCTGCCCAGTGCTGTAGCATCCAGTACTTGAACTTACAGGAATGCAGCCTCAGTTATGAAACTTTTATGTATATAAGAGAGCACTGTAAAAACTGTGTTATAGAGCATACATGCCCAGCTTTCTTCTAGCTTCTAGGTCTGTTAAAATACTGCCTATAATTGTGCTACTGACAGTAAGGGATGTGGTAGAGGAAGCGACTTCCATGTTACTATCTTGAAGAGTCTCATTACGTAAGTTTAACGTATACCAATGACACTCGTAATATAGGAGTACAAGCATAATTTAACTCTTGAAAGATTATCACTTGAAAAGTAATGGAAAGTAACCTAGTTGTTTTTATCTTTTAGTCCTTTCCCCTTCACATTTTTTAAAAACGAAAGTTTTATGTTCATCAAGTGTATTCTATGCATAGTGTTGTGATGTTGATTCCTTAACAGGATCTTACAAAGTCAGTAAAGGTTGGATTAACTTACTAGACAGAAAGTACAGCTCTATTTAAATATACCTGTAAAATTATAGTATTACTAGTTGTTGTTTTGTTCCATTAAACCAGTTTTGTTTGTTATTGACCACTGCATTTTAAGACACATCAAGGCTAGTCTTTATCTGAAGGAAAACGTTCTTATCAGTCCTGCAAATAGTATTTACCACTTTTTAGAAAGGACGTGATGGACCAGGTCACTGTTCCAGATGGACAACCTAGAAAAGTTGTTGAACATACTCTTACAGTGTCTTGACTTTTAATTTCTTTAATCACTTCAGTTTGCAAATCTTCATCTACAAGAATAGTAGTCTTCAGTATCTGATCTGTCTGTTCATCATGTCAGACCACAGGTGTAATTTCATGGACCAATAATATTTTAGTTGGTCATCTGCTGATGACTGTCATTATTATTTGTTTTAGCCCTGTGCATAGAAAATTTCTATATATTAGCAGTGGTGATAAATTAAGCTGAAAATAGTATAAACAAATTGGCAATTTGTACAGTATAAGCAGACATGTTATTTGTGTTATTATGAATGCTTTAATTCAGAAGAAGACTGGCAAAGTTTAGTTATTTATGGTGTAGAGCGACTCAAACTTTCCACTTCTTCAGTTCAGCAGTGGAAAGAGACCTAAACTGGAGTGAATACATTTTGCATTAAATTTTAGGTTTGCTTTTGTTATAAAAATTAATGGAGTACATAATATTTTGTACAGTGCATTATACCTGAAGTAATTATGCAGTTTGTAGTCTTTCGTGTATAAATATTATTTTGGTATAAATTACTGTAAATACGGACATTTACAGAAGAGAGAGAGAAATATGGAAGTTCTATTCAGTAAAATCTGCTAATACTGTTGTGTTATTTTTGATAAAGAAATATAATTCTTTTTTATGGCAATCATTGACAAGTAACATTATTAGTGGAATAGGGTACAATACTCGTCACATTTGTTGAAACAATTGTCAAGTTGTGCCCTCCTCAATATTGACTCGTGTATCTACTCATTTGTAGAACAATATACGCGAATCTCAACATTGGGGAAGCAGCAGACAACTACACTTGAGGAAATATTAAATAAGTTGGTTGAGAAGGCGTGACATTAAAAATCCGCAGTTTCAGTTTAGTGTTTCAACGAAATTTGACAAGTATTGTAGCTATCTTTCTTGCTAACCTTCAACCAAAAGGTTACCTTTTTTCTTCCTTCCTTCAACCTACAAATATTACAGATTGTATAATTTATATTATATCATAATATATTTACATGCCTCCATTTTCATGACCTCTGCTTCATTAATTACAGTTAGAGGAAGGTAATGATGATCATTAGTGAGATTTAATGGATTAATTATTGTAATATTACAATACCAGGTTTTGTAGACTTTTTATTTAGTCACCCCTATGGCATTATCATTGTTGAAGAAAAAAGAGAATTGTTGTTGGCTAATCTCTGTTGTAATATTCATCTTATAGTGATCTTATTGGAAAAAACTTAAAGACGTAAAAGGTTACTGGGGAAGGGGTTCTTTCCTGCATGGCTTAATAACCAGCTCAATGCATTTTAATCAAATCATTTAAATGTCAACCGCAAAAGATAAAAAAGGAAATAGCTACCCCCTACCTTAAGTGTCTGTGAGCAAGCCTCTCAGAGAGCTTTGTTACACACTACCAACACTAATGTAGGGTTTTAAGGGTTGCATGTGGTATTGTTTTGTTGAAATAAGGGTTTAAAGTAAAACCCTACATTATTCATGAATTAAGGCTAGGAGACAAAGGAAATTTAGAATCAACCAAGGTTAAAAAAATTTAACTTTGACCTGTTATTACATAGCCATTAAATTGAAACCACTATGTTGGAATTTAGAGTGTAGGAGAATGTCTTTGCTGTAATGTAATGGATTTTTATGATGGAAATAATGAGCCAACAATATCTGAGATGGTCAGGGCTGGAAACAGTAACAGTCAAAAGTGGTAGGGAAGGCTACTACTTCTAACCTCTTTTCTCTTTTGTCCATCCCAATGCTGTACAAAACTATAAAAGTGTTTGTTATATCCCAACATTGAATAGGGTAAACAGGGGCTGTGATATTTAGCAAAAGGGAAAACCATTTTGAAAATGAACTGCATTAAATGATGCAATGATTCTGTTGGGTTTGCAACAACTTTCCCAACTTTTTAATTCTGTGAGGAGATTTTATTTGTAGTCCTGAATGTTATATGCCTTAGAAAGGTGTCCATCTTAGACATCTTAACACCACCCTACATTAGGGTGAAGGGAGAAATTTTGAGAACAAGAGCCAACACATGTGTTGCCCTTGCGTGCTCTGTAAACTAACCGAATCAACTAACTAATGCTTTCCACGCAGGCTATCTTATTACAGTCACTGAAGAAAGTCAAAGAATGTGATTGAATAACAGCAGGGACCAACTCTAGGCCGATGTCAGGGAGCAACAGGGAGGAGGGGGGGGGGGGTCAAGACACTCTAAATGCATCCATGAGACTAGAAACGTTAAAGAAATTCCTGGATCCGCCCCTGGGAAGGTGTCCCCCCCCTAAAAAAAAAAACACAAATGGTCAACCTTCATATTTTGTGTAGCCAATAAATAAACTTTATTTTTGGGGACATACTCGCAAATAGCGATTTTCTTTGGCCTTGGGAGTTCTTTAGATCCCTCTGTTGTTATTTTTCATGAAAATAATGTCCTCCAGTTTGCTATAAGGGGGCGGGCGTGGAATAGAAGGGCCAAGACCGGTCGTTGAAATATTGTCAGAGCTAAGCTAAGCTAACAAGCTAAGTGGAATTAAAATGTCGCAGATTACCTTTTAGGGGATCCATTCTCGTCTGGTGAAATGGCCAAATTATGAGATTTCTGAAGAGAATATTGTTGTGTGTACCAGAACTCCTTATGAGTTTCTGTGTGAACGAAGCTGAAGAGCTGAGATGTTCATCGCAACGAGATTACACTCGCACTGCATGGTGGGATTTCCCGCGCTTGCATGAAAAAAGGAATTCATTAGGGAACCCGGGAAAAGGGTATCGAAAACAGCTGAAATTTATAGTGATGATCTCGTGTTATTTTTTAGTTTTGTCTCCGAATATTTCCCCTTCGTCGACATCAACGTTTTCTTTTGAACATTAGCTTTCACCAGAAGAGTTTTAACCACGATCGCAGCGGTAGAAACCTGAAATTATGTCTTCGAACAGAAGAGCTTCGTTTCCAGTGAATGTGCTTCGGCGGAGCCCTCGACGAAGAACGAAGACTCCATCTGTTAATGAACTCCCGAAGAAATGTAGTGAGTATATGAGAAGTCTATTTTTATTGCGGTTGTATGTTGTAGTTTCATCTAATGTAGTAAATCTCATGTTCAGATTGCTTGCGGTCGACGCAAACTATAGGGACGCTGCGTTGTGAAGTTCTATTGTTGTGCCGTCTTCTCTTCTTCTTTGTTGGGATCAATTTAGGGTTAACGAAACCGTTGTTGAGTGGAGGCATTTTGTCTTATACTTCGACGATGATGGCTTTAAGTTACCTTGAAATTGATTTTTATTACATTGAAGACGTCTATGGTCTCAACGACACTGCTACGACTTGCTAAAATAGGTTCATGTGGCTTTGAATCACTGTTTGAATGTCTATAATAAAGCTGGTTACACTGTCAGTTTTCCAAATAAAAATTCCTTTCTATTACAATGATCTATGAACTAAGTCGTTTGTAGAGTGGTACAGCCTCTTTGATCTGACCTTGCATGGTTAGTAGTAGCAAAATAAGACACAAAATTCAGGACAGGTTTTTAGACATCAGTAAACATTCCAGCCTCCATCATTTTGAACTTCTTATTACAAGGAAAAAACAAGAAATTTCAAAGAATTCCAGCAAAAGTCATTTGAACCAATAAGAACTAGACTAAAACATTAAAAGATTAAAATAATAGCATCTCAGTGAATCAAAAACTGCATTCCTATGAGTGTAATTTCACAAATTGTTTACACTGTCTGCTGTCTTATTGTGAAAAAAATAGAATTTATTAGTATTTACCAGAGTATGACTATTTACCAAATCAGCGAATAGCAATTTTTGTGCATTTTGATTGGCTCCCGTTACTCGGCATATCCTTGCCTATTCACTGTTTTGTGTCCAGTGCCAAGATGGCGTCTCATTTCAAGACATATTTGGAAGACAAAATTTGAGCGATAAATGAAGCAGTCGTACAAATAAATACCAAGAAGCGACGAACTCTGGCTTGTCTGTGTTTACTGGTAGGTAGAAAATTATTTTCAGGCTGAATTTGCAAAAAAATCGTAAAAATGCACTTGATAAAATCCCCGAAATGTTTGTAAATTGTAAACAAAGTTTCTATTACGTGATGTTTTTAGGTGACAAAAAAGTTTGTTTTTTGGTTTTTATCCAACTGATTCAGTAAATACGAAAACAACTATCTCCCTCAGGGTTGGTGAACAGCGCTATATACAGTGGAACCTCGCCTTACGACGACCCCGTTTATAAGACCACCTCGTTATTACGGCCATATTCTTTCAAACCAAACGTAAAAACCATTGAGTCATTTTATTATTTTGAAGACCCTGTTAATGCGACCACCTCGTTATTACGACCAGGATTTTATGGCCCAACGGTGGTCGCATTAACAGGGTTCCACTGTATATACCTTGATGCTTCGCGTCTTGGTATAAATTATATCCACCACTATTCACCTCCCCTTCGGGGGATAGTTGTATATTATTTTCTTACTAATGTGTGTAGCTAGAAATTCATGTACAGAATTTTATTTTGTTTTATATGATTAGCCTAACCACATGAAGCCAGTTATTGTGGGCCCATATCAGTCCCTTCCCCCATAAAAGTTAGAGCACACTTTTAAGGTCTATGTCCCCTACCCTTTTCAATACAGTGTTGTAGGTTCTGATACCCCTTGGAAAGGAAAAGAAAGGGAGAGGGAAACAAGGCTAACAGCTTAGCACTGGTTATGATTTACAGTGTTCACTCCATACTGCAATTTTGCATCATTGACACAGTAAATTACAGTATATCCTGACACAGAATGAAATTATAGTTGTGTCATACCATCAATAGAAACTAAAGAAAACAAGTTTATGAGCCACACAGTAGTGGGCATTTGGCAGTAAATAACGTAAAAACATGTGATTTCCAGTACTTTTTGTGTCAGGCATTCCATGCAATTCTGAGAAAGACTGGAAGCTGCACATTTTGCATGTATTGCATTGGCCATCAATGTTTTTCTTAGTTCATTTGTTCTTCTTTGTAAGAAGGAGCGAAGAAGAATGATAAGAGGCAGGAGAGAAAGTTTGGATGATGTCAGTTTCCAAAGTTTTTTTAGATGTAAGAGCATAGTTAGATCTGGACAAGTCTTAATATGACCCAATTTAAATTAGCATAAGGGACAGTACATAATGACCCACTTTTACAAATTTCTAAATTGAACTCTGGATTGATTGGTTTTGTCAACAGACCTCAGCTACTAAAGTTGCACCATAATACTGGATCTCTTGTTTTCTCTTTTTAAGAAATAAGTCCTAGAGGGAAACGAAAACTGGAGTTTCAGCACGAGAAGCCACTGAAAGGACGAACATATTACTTGGATCTTCCAGGCTACAGGAAACTCAACAGTTTACAAACAAGAGTCAAGGAGTTAGGAGGGGTAAGATATGAGGACGTCTCTTTCCTTTACACCTACAGACGACGTCAGTCTCTATAACTTCATGTGTTCCCTACCTCTATACAGCAGGGCTTACACAACGTGTGGTTCCAAAAATTATCCTTACCTCCCCCACGGAAGGGATTTTTCCCTAGACCCCACCTTACCTCTCTGGAAATTCCAGTCAAGCTTCATACATCAGGAGTTTCCACTCCCTTCTATGCTGGGGGGAGTATGGATATTAATATTTTTCTGGAACTACACAATCTTGAAAAGACCCTGAATTCCAAAGGAAGTTCTTGAAGAGTCCTTGATAAAGATCTTAATTTCTGGTGCAAACCCTGTCTACAATACAGACACTTCCGTAATGTGACAGTTAGGCTGGTCCCTTTGCTGGTGATTTCATTACAAAAAGCTATAAGTGGGTCCTGGCACTTATCTTGTGAAAAATCATTTCTCAGTACAAAAAAGAAATCAATTATTTTTGTTGGAGTATTTACATTGAATTGCCACTGTTTGTTTGTTTAGAATTTACTTTTGGACCTCTGTGAAAGGCAGACAATAAATTTTTGCTCTCTTGACGTGAGATAAGTTTTCTAACAGACAAAAATCACACCAACAGAGTACTCTTCAAACATCTTCGAATCGATCAGTCAATTCTTACCCTGAATTATTTGCCACTTTGGAGATTTTCATGTGTCAGAGACACTGAATGTGTTATGACAGTCATGTGTTTTGGCCATGGAGCAATATTTTCTATCAGTTTAAGAATGGCTGACTACCTGGCCTTACATGGTAAATACCTAAAAAAAAAACATTGCCTTTTATAACACGAAAATGTAAAATTAACATAACATTTTTAACTGTATTCATAACATAAATCCTAAGGCAAGACCAAGTATGGAGGAAAACAAGTCACATGTAGCATCCATGTTTTTTTGCGCAAAGAAAAAATATCTACACATCTATTTCTGGGGCTTCTTCCTCAAATTTCAAAATTTTCAGGGCTTGTAAGGACCAACAAGAACCAAGTTTGCTGTTTGTGCCTCAATCCTACAACCATTTGCAAAAATACTTGCAACACTGTACGGTACATGGGCTTAACTGACCTGCCCATGATCTTGTGCTTGTGATCATCCTTCTTCCCTTGTCAAAGTTGCGAGTAATACAAGACCTTTCTCAAACCATAGAGGAACAACTCTGAATGAAGGGGAGGGAGGGAGGGTGTGAGTCTTATCTCTCATTATGCGATTTGTGGTTAAAAAGGCCTTTTTTTCGACAGAGTGTCTTATCATTTTTGCAACTGGTTTTAGCAGGATGCAATATTTGCATTGTCTGGTCATAAAGTCCAGCTGTATCCATGTTTAGCCATACATTATCAGAGATGTAGCAAAGGAGAAGCTAAGCAGGCTTTCTTTTTTGTCAAGGTGGCTTTTTTACTAAGTTGCATGTTTAAAATTACTCCATGTCTTTGTTTCCCAGAGCAGTTTGAGCTGGTGGTAAGCTCTTTTGTAGCAGGTGAAATTAGCTGGCAGCTCATTCCTGCATTATAAGGCAATTCATCACAAAGTTGATGAAAGTCCATAGAAAGAAGAGCTCTTAGCTATTACATGTAATAGTGTAAGTCATGTATCTTGTAAGATTGAGTTTTGATGAGATATCTGTTTTCCTTAAAAGGTGGTAGAGGAGTTCCTGAGTAAGGACATCAGTTGCGTTGTTACAAACAGAAAAGATGTGGAAACAGGCTGCTCACCTCGAAGTAATTCCACACCCAGCCCCATCCTGTCAATTCCAAGTCCATTCCCAGGAAATACCAAAAGGTAAAAACCTTTTAATTGAATATAATATAAATACACTAAATGGTTCTTGGGAGTGGTAACAGAGATGTTCTGTTTAACTCTAGCCAGCAATATGCCCCCTTTCTGTCTACATGTATATATATACTGTTACAGGTTGATTCTCAATTTCTAATGTCTCCTAGTCCTAGAAGAAAAAATGCACTTTATTTGAGTGTCAAGCATTTGGCACAAAAGTACTAATAAGGGACACTATATAGGTCTCCTACTGGAGATGAGACTGCATTTTACATGGTTATCCGAGCCACGACGAAGGTCTAGCCGCTTGCAGTGCAAAGGGAGTGAGCATTGGTCTAGCCCTGGTAATCGAACCTGTGACCCACCCACTCTATACTCAAGTGCTCTTCCAACTGAGCTAAGCCTGCCCTAGTTAGAATCAACCTAGGTTAAAAAATTTTATCCTGAAACCAAACTGGACCTGTAACATATAAATCCCAGGGAAAGAAGGCATTCCTATTGCTTTCAAATTGGGACTTGGGAGTTTGGAGAGCACTCAAGAAGCTAGAGTTGCTCTTGGACATGCCTAGAGCACTGTGCCGTATTTGGGCCTAAATGGCCTGTCTATGATATTGTGCTTGTGATCCCCTTCCTCCTCTTGTCAAACTTTCTAGTAATACAAGACCTATTCTCAAACCCTGGAGGAACAACTCTAAATGGAGTGGTACCCTTCTTGAGTCCACGGTTGTCAAAAGGTTTTGAAGTAGACGACTGAGTTGTCAAAGTAAGCGGCCAGTCCAGAGATATTTTATTTAAAAAACACCATCCATAAACAAATGCCAAGTAGAGTAGCTGGCCGATACAAACCAAGCAGGTGGCTATTTTTGCAAGCAGCTGGCTACTTTTGACAACCCTGAGTACCCTCCGAACTTCCTGCGTGCATCCATAACTCTACATATGCAGGCTAAGCATGAACCAATTATTAAATTTCTCTCTCTTTTTAAAAAGATTAGCTCTGAGGTTTCGATGGAAATTGAAAATCTTAGACTTAGACTGCCCTAAATTGATTGCCAGGTTCTACAGGTTTTGATGCCCTCACTCCGAATGTTCTGTGTCAATGAATTCATAATTAGGGGTAAAACAGAGTGATGATTTATGTTAATCTGGTTTACCAATAAATAATAATGATTATAATGATCATTCGAACTTCATCAGCAATGATATTTCTCTGCATTCACTTTTATTCTAGCTCATCAGCAAAGGGTTTTGCAGTACCATCTCCTCTAAGTGCAGACTCTGCCAGCGCTGAACAGCCAGGACCACACCCTCCTAAACACAATATACGTGGCAAGGCCCTTGCAGCACAGGCAGCACTTACATGCAAGCATGGTACTAGCAATGTCATTGCCAATGCAAGAAATTGGGGTGTGGAAATTGTATCTCTTGAAGAGATGCTGGAAACCTTAGAGCAGTTTGGAAGCATTGTGAAAAAGCCCTCATCTAGCAAACCACTTGTAACCGGACGAGTGCCAAAGCAAAGTGTTAAACCTAAGGTGCGAAAGTTGCGTGCTCCTTTCATCAAAGTTGAGGATCATAGTCGTTGCTACAAGCCACTGGTCCATGAGTTGAAGGAATGGCCCAAGATTTATTTTGATAGTCCTCTGGGAAGCTGTCCATTTGACCCTCCAAAGGTTGATGTGGAAAATGATCATGAAGGACGAGACAAAACCAAGAGGTAAAGAACTTAAATGACATGTTGCATCAATGGAACACCAAGTGCTGTTGGATTCAATGCCAATGCTCCCCCATATAAGGGCTGAAAATCAGTATTTAACAAATTAATAGACAACAATTTTCCATGTTATTTTCTCTTGCCCTTTAAGCACAAGTATCCATTGCAAACAAAATAATTTTCCAGACTGACTCCCTTTAGGGAATTAACCAGGGTTGTCAGAAAGTTTTGAAGTAGACGGCTGAGTTGTTAAAATAAGCGGCCAGTCCAGGGATATTCTATTTAAAGAACGCCATCTATAAAGAAATACCGACCAGAGTAGCTGGCTGATACTGACCAAGTAGGCGGCGATTTTTGCAGTAATTTCTGTGGCAGCTATTATGGCTGTTGTTTAATGATGCATATTTGTTTTAGCCTTTATTGTGCTTTAAAACAGAAGGACTATATACTGTGATACAAATATTTTGGAGTCTGTCTTCAGATTAACTGTCTGGTTACATAAATTTAAAGGCCCAAGCATTTTGAATTTCAAACTCGCTTTTTTTAACTGGGACTTATTGGTTCTGGACTGGGACTCAAGATTTTTCACAAGAAAAGTCCCAGGACTCAGCATAACTATTGGTGACAAAATCACTGCACCTGAGGGTATATTCTTAGGCTTAATCTTAAAGCCAGTGTTTATGGCATAATAAACAGAGCAAGGAAGAATAATTATAATGTACTGCTCAACTGCTTTTCTTTAAATGGTGACCTTTAACCACATATTAATGCATTATTAGTCAATAAGGACTGTCAGCCTGTCTGGTTGCAGAAACCTGTTTCACGGGGCATTACTAGTTGTAACTAACAGAGCTGTTTTTTAGTCACTTAACCCATTCAATTGCTTTGTTCTGATCATTCAAATCCAAACACATTATGATTTGTGCGTATAATGTCACAGGAATCAAGTCAAAGAAGATAAACACAAGAAGAAAGGATTTTGTGAATGCTGTTGTGTTCATTATGAGGATCTAGACTTGGTGAGAAATGTGACAATTTTTTTTAATTAAAAAAATTGCGAATTGATACATGAATTCAGGCCTAAAACTGCTTTTTCGTAGTCTTAGCTCAACACTCAGCTTAGTAAGATTGTCTTTTTATGAAGTGTGACAAGCATTTGTTGTTGTTTCCATGTAGCACCTACAAAGTGATCGGCACCAGTCCTTTGCTAGAGATCCATCAAACTATCGTAGTTTAGATGAGTTGATCAAAAAAGGCCCAAGCTTGCAGGACTTCCTGGAGAAAATGTTACTAAAACATGAACAGAAGCAGAAAGAACAACAAGCAAAAAAGACGAGGTGAATACTGTAAAAATATATAGCATCTATCTAGCTGGAATTTTTTTTTTAAATATAACGCCAAATAGACCTTTTTGGTGAAGTAGTCTCTTTTTTCGTTCAAAAACTATCTCCAACTTAGCCATTAATAAAATTAAAAGTGCAATCTTTATTTTCTCTTCTCCCCTTTTCTTTCTCTTCGCTCTTTTTATTTTTCCCTTTCTTTTCCTTCGTTAGTGTGATTTTTGGGCCTTTTGCCCCTTTTCCACTCAAATGGCCGTAAATTTCTCCAGTTCACAAAAATCCGGCTGCATATACATGTATAAGACGAGTAACATGCAAGTGAAGTAATATCCCTGTAAGAGCATGATGAACCCTTAATGATTCTGAGAGTAATCACTGACTTTCTGAATCAGAAGGAAAGAAACGAAAGGATTCTTTACGATTAAAACTGCATTACGATTCTCTCACAAAAACAACTACTCACTGGTTTTTTTTTATCCATACATGTACTATTTGTGTTTTAGGCATACTTTTACCGCTTTTGTAAAAAATATCTCCTTTCTCCTTTCAGAAATGAATTGACAACTGCAGAAAAATCCGTGGTTGAAAACGAAAATAAAACCCCAACGAAACATAACACGCCAGACATCTCACCGGATAGCCAAACGCCTGCCGACCACACCCCAGACAAAAACAACGAGTGCTATACACCCACCAACCCCTCCCCACGTAATACAAATAGATGTCAAACATTTACTAACCACTCCTCCCCGGAGAAAAAGTCAAGTGATGATGATACGCCAGCTAGAGTGTTGAGATCAGGGAGCGCGAAATCTGACACCTCGATTGCCGAAAAGCGAAGCTCACGGAGCAGCCCAAGAACCACAAATGCTTTGAAGGAAAAGAAAAACGAGGAACTCTGTACTACAGAACAAAAGTTTGTAAAAACGAAAGGGCTTAATTTGGACAAATCAGGTAATAAATCACCCAAAAAACGAGCGCGTCCTGCTAAAACGCCTTCGACGTTATCTAGCCCCGTTGCGGGACGTTCCAACAGCGATGAGCCTGCTTCTGGTGTTCAGGAAGAGCAAAACAGCCATGTGCCTGCAAAGACAACGCTTAAAAAGAAGTCACCAAACCGAGAAAATCAAGCAGACGCTGCGGAAGCATGCTTGAAAACTCAAACACGTCAATCAGATTCTTCTGGTGACAGCAGCAGCAAAGAAAATCAAGATCCTGATGCTCCGGTTGATTATTCAGTAGAGACGGCCGATTATGAAGAACACATGGGACGATCGATGCTTCGATCTAAGACGATTCTTGACGACCACCAACTGCACCTCAACGGAGATTACGTCGAACACGAGAGTCGTGTCGAAGCTAAAACTGTTGAGGAAGGAGAGTTAAATCAAGATGTGGAAATGGCTTGTTCTAAAAAATCAAGTCTTAGATCTGCGACAAAGTTGAGTCCTGCTCACGAATTAACAAATATAAGCTTACCAGCAACAGATGAAGAAATCACTAATGCGGAAGCGCAAAAACAAAGCCCTGAAATACCGAGCGGTTGTTCTGCTGAAAAAATGAGTCCAGCTCGAGAGTTAAGGAACCTTAAATCGCCAACAGAGATGGAAGAAGGGAACTCTTTGGAGTTGGAAAAGGGAAGCCCTAGACGAAGGAGTCTTAGATCTGCTTTGAAAGTCAGCCCCACTGGAAAATTGAAGAGTTCTGAATCACTAAAAGAGAAGGAAAAACATCAGAGCCCCATCAAAGATGACTGTGGACAAGAACGTGAAAAGTCAAGAACCGAGACTCTTAGTTCTTTCTCAAAAATGAGTCCTGCCAAAGATTTAAAGATCACTGAATCGCCCACTAGGGAGGAAGAGAGGAGTGCTGAGGTTGTGGAAAAGGGAAGCCTCAGAAGATCAAGCCTTAGATCTGATACAAAGTTTAGACCTTTTGATGGATTAAAAAGTCCTAAGTCGCCCAAATCAGTAGAAGAGACCAGTGTAGTGGAAGAAAACTTACAAAGAACCACTCGATCACGAACTCAATTTTCATCGAAGACAAGTAGCCAGTCCTTAGGTGATAGCACTATCCTGAGTACAACGAAAGCAAGTAAAATGTCCTTGAATGATAGCACAGTAGAAAATACCTTTTCTTCGACGCAGATGACTGATGGCTCAAATTTTGCAGAAATCACAGAAAGTAGTGTTTCTTCTCAAGTTGCGGAGGTTTCCACAGACAAAGAAAAGCCAGCGTTTAACGCGGATAAAAGGCAGACGAATCCCCGCATTCAAGAAAACGTGAGTGCGAGGGATACATTTCCCTTAAGAGGAGGCAAGACAGTAGCATACAAAAGCCAGTCAGACAGCCAAAGTCCCCAATTTCGTTCCTGTGGCCCCGAAGTTGTCACTCATGTTAAGGTGCAGTTGCAAGACTGTCGCCGAATGTGCGTTGGTCGCAACAGACCTGTACTGGAAAGACAATCCGATGAATCAGAAACTGAGAGCATTCAGTGGTCGAGTGAGGAGAACTATTCGCAAACTAAAGACATGCCCAATAATGGCACGTCTTCGGGCGAAGAGGGGGAAGAGATCTCTAGTACACCTACCCTGGACCCTTGCCCTTCATCTCCAAGTTCGGAGAAGTCAGGATACTCCGATGAAAGGGGCGGATACAGTTTGCGAAAACGTGCTGAACGACAACAAGAAGAGAAAACAGGCGTCACCAGAAGGACACGATCAAACTACAAAATTTCCAGTGAGGAGTTACAAAAGGCTGGCACTGTTGCTCGTGAACGCAGGAAAACGGTTCCTTTTCCTTATACAAGCGTCAGGACGAAGAGTCCAAAGCAAAGATGTAATTCTCTCCGAACCCTTGGGAATAGCACACCAGAAAAGAAAAAGGTCAAAAAGAGTAAAGCCATGAAAAACCCACTAAATGAAAGTCCTCAAAGAAAGGTCCCAAGAAAAGAGCCCTCGTCTGAATCCGAATCCAACGTCTCCTCTGAGAGCCCTCGTAGCGGGCCCATTCGTGAAGCAAGAGACAGGCTGACGCCTTTGGCTGTTTGTAACTTGAGTACAGCGAGCTTTGACAGGGAAAATACAGAAGCTCTTTCACTGTTATCAGAAACGACCGCTTCATTTGGAAATCTTTCGACAGTCGCTATTTGCGGGACACCCCGTCACTCGAATCCCGCGGACTTAAAACGTGTGGGTCATTGCCCGAAAACTGGTGAAACGTTGCTGTCAGAAACGGAACTCTTGAAGCAAGAGGGGTCTCAATCAGCTACTTTTTTGGATAAAGATCGCCCTATGGAGCCTAAATTTTCTCGCTTGTTTGATTCAGATGACGAGCCCGAAGACTTCTACGGTTTCCCTGTACCACAGTTTGACAGGTCGTTTTCGTCAGAAGGAGATCTAAGTTATAAAATAAATTCTATAGTGGAAAGCATGAGTCAGGTAGACGAAGGTCAAGGTACTATAGATGACGTTGAAAATGTCACCATACAAAAGGATGACACTGAAACTGAAATTAGCGAAAATGAACAAGAAAACGGTACCAAAACCATTGACGAAAGGGAGATCATCAGGCAAGAAAGAATTTACGAGAAAGTTGTCGAACCAAGAACCTCAAAAGTCTATGAAAGGAAGGTGACACGAAAAAGAAAATCAGTCAGTCCTATTGAAAGTGTCATTGCTGATTTAGAGAGGGTTCAGTCTTATTCCAGATGCGAAGGACAAAGAGTCGGTGGTTTTTCTGCGGATGATTCTTCCTTTGTGGAAGATGTTGATGAAGATGACGACGTGTTCAGTGCAGTGTCTGACAGCAGTGAAGGAGAAGAGGATGAAGTGTCATCACCGCTCAGCATCACTTCCTGGAGAAAGAAACGGAAGTCTGAAGACCTCCAACCGGAAATTAACAGGCCAGCGAAAAGAAGAAGGCCTCAAGAGCGATGGAGTGAGCTGTCTCTGGCTGAGTCATCCGTCAGAAGTTCCATGTCTGAAACTCCCGTAAAATCTAAACCAGGAGTAGGACAGATACGGAAGAAAATTGGTAATAAGCAGCCGTCAGGTTTAAAGTCAAAACTTGATGAAATGCTGGAGAAAGGGAACAAAAAACGAGTTAAATCTCTGTCCTCAATTAGTGAGTTCTACGATATTGACGAGCCAGTTTTCCAAACGCTTGAAGAACGCGTTAAACTTCGACGACTTAGGAAGATCTCTCGTAAAGCGCGAGAAAGTTCCTCGTCATCTGAGCAAAATCAGAACATCGACACGCCAAGAAAATCAGAAGCGAAGACCAAACCTTCTACGCCTAAACAAGATACATCACAAAAGGAGGTCATGCGATTACAAACGGCGTCGCCTAGAACGGACAGTTCGTCCAAGGCAAAGAGTGTTGCCCCTCTTCGATCATCTTCGAGGCTTAACCGAGCAAAAAGTTCTTCTGGTGTGAGCGAGTCACCGCTTACTGCTCTTTCTGGGAAACCGCGAAGATCTACGTGGATTGATGACTTAAGCGCGTTTGCATCGCCGCCCTTGGAACTTCCAGGCGTTCGTAGAAAACGCTTTCGATGCTCTACGCCTGCTTCGGCAGATCATCCTAAACATTCTCTGAGGCTGCGAGTAAGAGACAAAGTGGAATCACGGAACGCAAAGCAAAAAGATCCGTTTGCCTTTGACGAGTAGTGGAATACTCATAACTAAAGCAAGGAGCGTGTCATATGAGAACCACAGCTCAAGATTGTTTATAGATACTCATACTGTTACGTGCTTTTGACGTTGTAAATGACCTCTGAATTATCACAGGCTGCACACTCATAAAAACAAAAACAGGGATAGGTACCTTCTCCGTTATGCTGACCACAATACATCCCTGGGTAAGAGCAAGAGACAGTTAAGACCATTTCAAGGTTGCATACCATTAAAAAATCCATGAACGCACGTTCATCGAGTACAGCGTATAACGCCAGTGACAGAAGCCCATTTACCTTTTCGTGGCTGATATAATACCAGACACTGACATAGTACGTAATATATAGAGAGCTTTTTCATGAGCTCGAATGGATCTTTCGCTTAGTAAAGTTCAAACTATTATGTCTTCTGTTTTGGAGAAGGTCGGAAATTTGAGTTAAAAAACACATTACATACAATGTCCACGGAGTAAGGGATATTGGGATTTTGTGTCATTTGCATGTATGTCCCAATTTTGTGCCGAGATTTTAAGAAGCTAGAACGTTTGCAACAATGTATGCAGGACTTTAACTTTGTAAATTTACTGACAAATTCTCTAAGATCAAGGTTGAAATGTGTGCTGACGTTGGAAAATGCTTACAAACGTTCGGCGCCAAGGTTTCTGAAATAGTTTTGGTGGACAATACAGGCAACGGTTGACAGTAGTTACCATTGACCGGCAATCAGTAACGTATGTCCACCCTAATGAGGCCAAAAATCGCTGCCCATAAGGCTTGTACTGATTACGTCTGTTCCTTCATGTTCTTGAGAAAAAGTTAAAGAAATAAAAAATGTGGTAAGATGTACCGTAACATAGAGCGCAAGTTTTTACCTTTTTAACGTTTAACATTTTTAGTAGATATAGCATATGCTGCTATCTTTACACTGTAATTTCAGCTAATATTTAGATTTAGAGTTTTTTAGAGTATTTTAGAGCGTGGGGTATTTTAAGCTTTTTGCCCGTTCAATTTCACATTGCATTCAACGACTTTTCGATTTTGACATTTTTGAACGTTTGATGTGTTGTGTGAACAATTGTACATATCTATGAGAAGAATTTTGAAGTGTTGATTTTCATAATCGAGGCAGTTAATAAAGTCACAGAAATCTACGTGCAGTTGAAGATCCTTTGATTTCCACTCGTGTTAAATTAATGTAGAGCAGTTTCATTGGTCAAGAAAATTGCTTGAGCCAGTTAAAATAGGCGCACCCAATACTTTTCACACAGCTTGCCTTTAGCTCCTCCAAACAAAAGCATGAATAGTAAGTGATTCCTGGATCAAGTGTTATTTGCAGTGCAATAGCTTGCTTCAATTAGATAAAACGGAAAGACCAATAGTAAGGAAGAAAGTGTCTCCCTGAACGATTCCACGTCGAATGCAGACTTCTCCTAAGGTTTTTCAATTCACAGAGAGATGCTTCTTCTTTTGGGAAGCCGGAGACAATTTCAGGAAATGAAAATATGACTCGAGGATGACGGAGTCCGTAAGATTACAGGATACTGGAGTAGGACAAGTCCTGGTTTCAGCCTTCTTAGGGGGTGTGGACGTCCCCGTCCCCCGGACAAACGGACCACGACACCAAGGGTATATGACACTGTTTAGCCTTGGGTGGCATCTCATCTAGGACAAGGTACCGAAAACTCACTTTGTGATTGTATTAAATGTTAATACTGACCTTATAAACGGTATGACTAGAACTAAAGATGATAGTCTCTTATCAGTTACTTCTACAGGGGCCATGACAAAGAGAAAGCCAAGGAAGCCGGAGCAAATTTCAGCAGATCAAGTAAAGGGGATGGCACCTTATGCCTGGTATATATTAACTGTTGCCCTGAAGGATGTCAATGGGAAAGCACTGGCAGACGATAGTGATCCAGATTCGCCTCGTGGCTTGAGAGCAGGTATCTATTTAATAACCTGCGTTGTGTTAGGTTTAACAGCTGCGTTATTGTTAATAATAATTGTAATTTAAGCCTGAAAAGAACGCTTCCTACCTTTAAGTTCAATATATATTTTCTTATTTACTTATTTTACAAGAATAAAGGAAAAGCAACAGGGTATGAAATTTCACGTCGATAATTATTGGTTTTTTTTAGATCGCGAAAGTAAAGTCCCGCTAAAAATTTGTGACAATAAGATATATTCGTCCGCCTAATAAGTGCTTTTTGTAATAATAACGAAAATGTTAGCTGCTCAGGTCTTTGAAAAGAACGTTTCTACAAATTATTTGTTGTCCACGGTTCTCATAAATGATTAATGCAACGTTCGCAGCACCTTTTCGACATCGCGCGACAAGCCATCGATTGTATTATCCAATAATGTGCCTTCATGTTTTGAAATAATAGAAACTGGCTCACTGAGTAAGATTGAATTTACACATTTTATATTAATTACGAGAACATAGATGGAAGGTTTCGTTTATTTGCTAACGTTTTGGAAGAGGATGAAGATATTTCTTACTTTTAAAAAGAATCTCGTGAGTCTCTTCTAACGTGATATAAAAGTCTTTCAGGTAAGCATCGATATTATATTGCATGAAATGTGCTTTTTCATGAAACTAACACTTTTTATAAATCGTTAACATTCAAATATGACAAAGACGTCTGTAAAAGAGACGGCGTCACAGGAAAGTACAACTCAAGGATTTTAATCAATAAAACTTAGAAATACTGGAAAGCTAGAGTGGGCACTGTTCCCACAAAGATGTGCTTCTAAGACTTATTCAGGACCAATGGATTTGAAGGGTCCTTAATATTTATGAACAAATTTGAATCTTCTGACGTTGATAAGGGTACAGTTAAATCTTCCAAGCAAGTGGCGCATGGAAATAACTATTTCTTTGGTTTACACCGAGCTCCTGTGTTCCTCTATGAGAAGACCCAATAAACTATTTTTCTTCCCAAAGGAAAAAAAAATAGTTTCTCAAAATGAATTTGTAAATTGCTGTATAAGAAAGAAATTAAGAAAGATAATTTTAATAGGAAGTGTAGCTAAAATACATTCATAAACGCTTTCCAGTAGCGCGCTAACAATTAAGAAACCGATTTTGTTTCGAAAACAGCTGCCAGTTTACAAGTGATTGAGTTTTTCAGGTTTTCTGCATGTCGTCTGTTCGTCGTCTCTTCAAATTTGTTTTACAACAGACGACGATTCCTTTTTAGAATTTAAAGTAATTGTTTTGGCCTTAAAAAATATTTATAAGGTTTGTTCGCCGCCAGTAACTCTCAAATTAAGTAATTTATGGTCAAATGTCGCCTTCTGCCGGGACACCTCGCCATGAAGGACGCCTCCGATAATACGGGCATCAGCTGAATCCTTGACAAAATTAAAAGACGTTCGACTAATACAAACTTCAATTGAAAAAAAAAATCAGTAACGCTCAAATTAAGAAATTTGTGGTCAAATGTCGCCTTGTGCTGGGACACCTCGCCATGAAGGACGCCTCCGATAATACGGGCATCAGCTAAATCCTTGACAAAATTAAAAGACGTTCGACTAATACAAACTTCAATTGAAAAAAAAAAATCAGTAACGCTCAAATTAAGTAATTTGTGGTCAAATGTCGCCTTGTGCTGGGACACCTCGCCATGAAGGACGCCTCCGATAATACGGGCATCAGTTAAATCCTTGACAAAATTAAAAGACGTTCGACTAATACAAACTTCAATTGAAAAAAAAAAATCAGTAACGCTCAAATTAAGTAATTTGTGGTCAAATGTCGCCTTGTGCTGGGACACCTCACCATGAAGGACGCCTCCGATAATACGGGCATCAGTTAAATCCTGGACAAAATTAAAAGACGTTCGACTAATACAAACTTCAATTGAAAAAAAAAAATCAGTAACGCTCAAATTAAGTAATTTGTGGTCAAATGTCGCCTTGTGCTGGGACACCTCGCCATGAAGGACGCCTCCGATAATACGGGCATCAGTTAAATCCTTGACAAAATTAAAAGACGTTCGACTAATACAAACTTCAATTGAAAAAAAAAAAAATCAGTAACGCTCAAATTAAGTAATTTGTGGTCAAATGTCGCCTTGTGCTGGGACACCTCGCCATGAAGGACGCCTCCGATAATACGGGCATCAGTTAAATCCTTGACAAAATTAAAAGACGTTTGACTAATACAAACTTCCGTTGTTATAGCCGAGGCTATTTCGGAGTCGTCCGAAACCTTTTTTCGGTCCGGAAGCACAATAAGTTTAATATCCAGACTCTCGTTATGACAGACACGGTGCGGCACCTTTCAAAATGAGACACAGCTGAAAAATACATTATCCGTGTTTGGTTAGCATATTTGTTTCTTTGGCTGGATTTACGATTGATTTCAGTGTTGCTCATCAATTGAAACCGTTGACAATGCAAATAAATGTTACTCCTCTAGAGTGATCGTTTTCTTACGAAATTCATCTGTTTCCCTCCTGTTTTGTTCCTGGTTGCCACGGTTTCGGTCAGGTTATGAAACTGCATTTTACTTGTTTTTATGCAGACATAATGAACGCGTTAGAACAGGTGAAGAAAAAACTTGATCACGTGCGTTGCTAGTTGCCGTAAAATCTCTTTTTAACCCGACACCAAAGTTTCCCGCCGCACACGAATTTAAGAATTTATATTAAGATAATCGACTGTCAAGGGTGCTAAAGGTATCGCCTATTTTATCGATGTATTGCCGGGATAGAAAGTGTCAGAACTTTTTTTTTGCCGCTAAAATCAATAATTATTATGTCATTGAGTGTAACAGAAGCCTACGGTGAAAGATTACAAAAAAAAGCAATTGTCGTCGTTCACGTAGCAAAATGATAACGGGTGAAAAGCTTTTGCTTCTTTTCAACCTGGAAACTACCATGTGTGAACTGAAGTGATTCTCGATTGTGTAACGACAGCGTTGTACAATGTAGCTTCTTTGTGACATTAATTAAAGAAGGAGAATTCAAACACCAGAAAGCTCAGAAA